GCTTCCAGTAGCTCTCCTCTATGGTTAGCCCAGCATCAACGAGAGGGTCTTTGATGCTCCTGCCAATGTTCATTGGTGTTTCTTGAGACGCCCCAGAAGACTCTCCAGCCAAAGTGTAGGCATTTGATGTTTTCTGTGCTGCATTTAAGGACTTACAGATGGCATCTTGACTTTGTCTTGGCCCACATACAGTCATGTCTTCAGAGGATACAGTAAGCAAAAGCTTGTTCTCAGGCCTCTGGATGATTTTCAGTGTGTCCTTAAACTCTTCTGGATCTATGTACTTGAGAGGAATAACTGAGCCTTCAGATTCACCTAAACACTTCTGGACAAGAGTAATGAAGTCATAGCGAGCTTTTTGTCCGTCTCCATCTTTCTGGTTTGCTTCAAATGTCACATTGACTTCTGCCATGATTTTAACTCCATTATCTTTCTCGGTACGTTTAATTTCTTCCTTGTAGATGTGGTTCACATACCAGAAATGACCCACTGGAATAGATAAAGGAGATGTTTCCTCTCCTGCTGCAGAAACTGCTGCTGAACTGCTGGAACTGCTTCGTTCCACCAGTTGCATTTCCTCCTGAACAAAACACAATGTATTTATTAAATAAAAGGCATTAATGTGCAGAATGTTATTCCTTCCTAATCATTTACTACACAGCACATACATGTTGTGGCTTTGACACAGCTGAAGGAGTAGGGGTCATTGAAGCATTGTCTGGTATTCGTGTTTCCAGGTCTGGTGGTGTCAGACTAACAGACATTATTGTGACTGTCTCCCCTTTTTTCCTGGTCAGTGTTTGTCCACTCAGTTTCTGAAGCTCAAGCAAGGCTTAAAAGAAGAAAAACAAAAATTAATTTCTTTCCAAAAGGAATAAAAGAAAAGACCAACAAACTGAATTGAAACACAAAAGTAAAAACAGCAAACTGAATTGCAAAAGCCATATTTACACAAGATGTGCAATTTAATTTTAAATAAAAACAGAATAACAGTCATACTGCACCTGGAGCAGGTTTAATCTTTATCACAGCTCTCCCATCCTCTAAGACATTTAAAACTGTGTAGTCTTGGTTACATTTGGTTCTGTTGGCCCAAGTCTGAAGAACTTTTTGGAGTTCTACTTTAGCTTTCTGCGGTTTAATACCCTCTGACCACTTGACTGAGAAGGTGACTTGAACTTCATCTTTGTTCTGTGATAAAGTCAGAGCAAGAAAACATGTTAGAGTTAATATCACTGTATCACACACAATACAAAGTGAATGACAGCACAAAAGATGTCATATTGGAGATAGGTGGTGATTTAATTACATCAGTGCTAATACAGTGCTAGTAAATACAAAAGACAATTGCAGCAATTAATACTTCAAAACACAAACAATTTGAAACAACTTTAGATTCCAAACTTGACTGATTCAGCCACTCACAACATCCATGCCGCCAAGGTTCACTGATGTGTCTTGAGACGCCCCAGAAGACACTCCAGCAGAAGTGTAGGCATTTGTTAGGGGTTCCTGATCTGCATTTAAGGACTTAGTGACGTCATTTGTACTGTGTTCTGGCCCAGTCACTTCTTTAGAGGGTATAGTAACCGAATGATTGTTTTTAGGTCCCTGGATGAAAACATGCTACAGTTAATGTCACTGTATTACCAAGAAAGATAGCACAAAATCCTCCATGCCATTCAACTTAAGTGAATAACATCACTGGTTCCACCAGTTTCATAACAGGAAAAAAGCAGTTGACTAAATGCAGTGGAACTGTGTGCAGTTAGCTCCTTAATTATATTTATATCTACTTTGCATGTTCTGTGTATGGTATAGCAGGTGGTGCTTTTTTTTCTAGCTCACAAACATACACACACACAAACACACCCACACACACATACAAATAAATACTTAAAAACACAAACAATTTTAAACAGCACTATTGCTATTGAGGTTGGTCACTGAATATTTACAACAAATCAACATTAATTAATACCATCATTCTCTTATACTTAACAGTTGTCTTTCACACTGCTCAAATGTTCAGTTTTAGTTTGCAGACATGGCAGATACAGATACTCACACTGTCAATGTCCATGGGCTCAGTGTCTGACATTTTGACTCTGAGTCTTCTTCCTTTAAGAAAACATATTTGTCACATAAATGTCAAATGTCGACATTATATTAAAGGCGACGCTTTGGCCCGACTGCACTTTCGCTTACGACAATCTAACGCAAACTTGTATAGGCTGTCAATTAGCTCTCGGTTTGTATTGCTTCTTACATTTAACACAACGTTATGCAACAAACATGTTGTTTACTTTGTGAATAAACATGTAAAACATGAATTCATGACGCATATTTACCTTCAGCTGGCTCTGAACGCTGCTTCTTCCTGATAAATGAAAGCGAAACTGTTGAGGCTCCGCGAGACACGTGGATATCACATGGGAGGTTGCACAGCATTAATGCAGCTGCAGACTTTTACACTATTAATGAGTATTAATATGTGTTGATAAATCATCAGTCTGTTACTGTTGAGATAAACAGCTTTGAAAGGTATTTTTTACTCAAGTGTTGCACTAAAGTACAATTTGAAGGTACTATTTTACTTTACTACATTCGAGGGGGGTATATTGTTTTTACTACACTACATTTATTTGTCAGCTTTAGTTATTACTACTACAACAGATTCAGAATATTATTACATAATGTCATCAATTGAAGCAGGTGTAATCTTCATCACAACATTCCCATCTGTTGAGGCACTTAAAACTGCACAGTCTGCTTCAGTTATGTTTCTGCTGAACCAAACCTGGAGAAGTTACTGTAAATCCACTTTTAAATGACCACTTCCCATATATAGATGCCAGCTATGTTTGTTGTAGTCATTCTGCCTTTCAAAAAACAAATCATAATTCAAAGCATGTAAATGGATTTCCCCCCACTAATATAGTAGATTAACAGAAAATAGATAGATAGGATACTGGGTAAAGTTAGCAACAGTCTACTGTTTGTCAAATTCTGTTCCGATAATGCTATATCATCTAGCGTGGAAATAACGTCAGAGAAAAAGTTTCTTAACGCTTTTGCGTGGTGGCGGGAGTAAGATATTAATGGCAAATAATATTGGGTTATGTGATTGTAGAGGTGGGTGCAGGTGGTGATATGATTATATCTATTTTGGAATATGAGCTATGTTAAGTTAAGATTCTCAGAATTATTATTATTTTAATAATTATATTTTTGTCATATTTGTTGTAGATTTACAGTGCATTTGAGACTTCCTAAACAAAAATGTAACTTCAGGATTGAGTGTTTTAAGGTTTTGTGATTCTGTTGACTGTTACCTGTCTATAGCATGTTGCAGCTCAGGTTATTTTGGATTGATGGGAAGAACCTAATTAAGGTTGAAAACACAAGGTAAGTCCAGAATAGGCCAATCATTTAAAAAATGAATAACACTATACTAAACATGTATTCTATTACTGTATTATGTAAGTAATCGTGTTAGTAATATTAATGTGGGAGCACTGGGTGCTGCGTGGTGGAGGAGCTGAGTGGACCATGGTGAGACTGAAAACATAACAATGTATGTTTTAAATAAGCCAGCAATAAGAAATCTTTCTGAGTATGTGTATCATACTGCCATATTATATAAGGAATCATACTAAACATTTTGTATAAGTACTGATACTGAACATGTAATATATACTATCATATCATACTGCTATGATGTCCAGGGTGGATAATTAGCACCTGGCTGGTAAAATAAAAAATGGAATTTAACTGGTAGATTTCAGACACAAAATAATGATTTAATATTGAGTGGTCGATTTGTTCACAGTTAAAAAAGTTAATTTCCACTCATTGCATGCTGCATGCCAAGAGAGCTGCAGGGTAAGGACAAGTAACGTTACAGGTCACTGCAAAGTAAATTGAGTTTATATCCTAAACACAACTATTCAGTTTTGTCCAACCATATACATATGCCATAGTGGTTGACTGTACAGTATTAGGGAATACAACTGGACAACACTCATTACATATCTAATCGACAACCCAGAACATATATGAATACAGAAGCTGTTGATGATCAAAACAAAGACGACGCCTCACCTTCGAAGGCAATTTCCTGTCCATGGTGTTCATGTTATGTCATAGTAAAAAGACAAAAGATACATAGAATATGTTATTATAATAATATAATAGAATAATTATTAATATGCATATGTGTATGTATGGATGTGACATGTTTACCTTTTTAAATATCAGTTCTATCAGCTCTGCCTTTTGCACGCAAAAACAGACAATAACAGTCTTTTTTGCTCAGGAAGGTTATCAACTGAGTGATAGGAACGTCTCCTTTTGTATCTAAAGGATGGTCCTTTCCTTATGGCAGCAACATTAAAAAAAGCCAGCCATTCACAAATACAAACGATCAAAAGAATCAGCTTCTAAATAGCCGTCTGTTTTTTTTAAATCTCATACCATTACTATGGAGCTGTTATTGTAGTGAAACTGATTACAAATGTGCGTGCAGAGTTGTTTAACTGTATCTCAGGGTTGGGGCCTTGTAGGACACAGGCCTGGGTTTGTACCAAGGAGTCCCGTTCCTAGTTCCAGCTGAGGCCAAGTCTTGATTCCTGAGGGCTGGACTTATCTTGCGCTGGACACAGGTCCAGCTTCAAGCAATGCTACAGCTTGCTGATCCTGTTTTGACTGGGTCACCTCTCTCTCATGTTGGTAAGGGGCAGTATCTACTCAACATGCTTGGATAGCTTGTCCAGCAGTGGTGGAGGTGAGGTGAACAGACACTGCAAAGAGTAGACTAGGCTTGAAAGGTCCAAGTTAACCTGGATTCACTCTTTAAGCTGGTCTCTGGAGAGCTTGGCAACTTCATTGCACTAAGGTAATGCCCAGTGCTAGTAGGCACAGTAGAATTTTCCCTTGGCTTTATTCTTAGGTGACATCAATGGATATGGATGCTAAGCATACCTAACAATGAATCCATCCAAACAGCATCTATGAGCAGAAAAGAGAGATAAAGGGAAAAAACAAACAAACAACCAAAACACGCAAGTAGTTTAGAGAGTCTTAAAGCAGTTGTCCAGTTGTCTGAAGAATTTTTAAAAAGTCATTTATAAATGCCACAAAGCTTGGAGCACAGTCTACACTTGAATAAAAAATCTACCTATGATGAAAACACTATTGGATACAAATTCAACATCAGTGTTTTGCATAAAAATACCAAACTTCACATGATGATATTCAGAAGCAGGTACTACATTCTTTGTAACACATGCATTCTGTCCCCTAAACAGTTTAACAACATTACAGGTGTTGAATAGAGGTTTAATATAATTTTGAAAAAAAGTACATATATTGGCAGATGTAAGCATTACAGAAGAATAGTGTAACATTCTTTTGTCAGATTCATCAAAGCCACAGAAATAGCGTTGACCAATAAAAAATATTTTCTATATGAGCAATCCAAAGTCAATATAGTTTTGAAATCGGTTTTGAAATCAGACTGAATATATTTCAACATTAATCAATTAAATGTACTATAGACCAAACCATTTTTTCCACCCAATCTTTCTAAAAATAAAGATTTAAGTCACAGAAATGTTAGATCATCTTTAGGCTGCCTGCAGTTTGCAGACCACGTTTAATTCAACCATATTATTATTATCAACCACACAAGATCTGTTTGTTAACAGATTCAATCTTTATTGCACAACAGCAACAAGAGTTAAATATAGAAATCACACAGAAAATTAGAAAAACGTGGGGTTTGTTGTCAAAACTAAGAGCCAATCAGCTTTGTTGAGGTGACAGCGAGGCGTTTCCCACCGTGCCCTGGGTCTTTACAGTCGGTGGAGAGCGCTTCAATCTCGTGAGGTAATCGTTCCCCACGTGTGCATGACGTCAGAGAAAGTCGGCGTCAAGTCGGGCACAGAACTAACCGGCATGCATTGTGCGACCATCGCCGGTGATCGATTCTCCACAGGCCTGGCTCATCTCGAACGAGCCTACTGTGTTTTCCAGGATGTCAGTGATTGTGTGATTTGCTCAGGAGCCTGTCAATCATTTCACCTCGTACCTGTGATTGGCAGAGAGTTAAGGGGGACGGATGTTGTTGTTCTTGCTAGTTTTTGGAGAATAAAATAAATAAAACTTAAATTCTGATGACACATAACTTTTATTGTGCATGGTGTATAGAGGCTCAGGCTTTCCCCTGGAGAGAGAATACTCTTTATTGTGGTTGTTGGAGTACCTTACTACTACTACTCATCTCATTTCTGTTGGTCACGTACTATGGCATATATTTACTTCTGTCAATATATTGTCATATATTGCATTATTATAAGGTACATACTTAGGCTCTTATTATATTTCTATTTTTATTTTTTAGTTATATATACCTACATATACATTTTCTATTCTATACATATTGTGTTAGACATTGTAATATCACATATATTATTTCTATTCTCTAACATTGTGTGAGCACCTTGAGCGACTGTAACAAACAAATCCAGATCAATAAAGTATTTCTGATTCTGAGTCTGATCTGATTAAAATTTGGATAGAAAACAAGCGTTTGTTTTAGGTTTTTTTCACAACATGTGCTGATAAATAGACAAATACTGTGATTAGTCAGTGTGGGTTGCATTAATCATTTATTAGATAAACATCAGATAATATATACTGCAGAACATAAAGCTGAATTTACAAATGTCATTCTTATGTTGTCATAATTTGAAAAACTTTATCAGTCAACAAAAAAGAAGGAAATCTTCCATTAAAAGTTATACTTAATATATGTAGCTAATACATGTTGCTAAACGATAAACTCTTAAACTGTAAATGCTGTCCAGTTACTGATAATATTGAAAATTACAAGAGAAGAGAGACAGCATTCAATACGATAGTCTGTTCCAGTAATTGCTTATTTAACTTATTGTGTGGAAACAACTCCTCAGCCACTCTCTATTAAGATCTTCACTCAACACCTTTAGCCTTCAGCTCATCTCTGACTCTGCTCAGGTAGCCAGGGTCAGGATACCCAAAACTGTGGAAACAGAGTATGTGCAAGGGTTAATGTAATAATAATTAAAGTAGACTTGGCATAAAAAAATATATATATATGAAAAAATAACCACTACTGTACCTCTGTGGTCCTCCTGATGTTGAGGTCTGTGTGGTGAATGGTCGTTCCAGGTCACCTGATTCTCCATTCCAGTCGTTCTGGAGGTCCCGACAGTGAAAATGAGCTTCTGCTCAAACGCTTTCTTCAACAGCCGCAGCACTTCTCTGCCTCTCTGTTGTCTGGCAGATATGCTGTTCTCCTAATACCAGAGGTATTACTGTCCAGGATCTGGATGCGTCTCCTGTAAAATGACAGCGAAACATTACTGACAACCATGTTAAAAATTAAATTACAATTTACAGTATTGACACAATGTCTCCAGATATTTGAATTAAGACATTTACCGTCTGTATTCCAGCTGGAATATCAATAGGTGATTTCTATAGTGCCAAAGGATGAGAATCCAGGGAGGGAGAAGCTACTTGTATGTGTGACATTCTTCCAACTGGCTGGTCTCCCTCTATCCATACCAAAGACATCTTTGCATACAGGACACATGGTCCAATGCTTTTCTTGGACTGTGCCAGGCCAATCCTCGCAAAACTCATGTTTACACTTGAGCTGTTTCTTTATTGGTAAATGTAACCATGCATATCGGACAGGTTTCATCTTTGTTATCTCCTGCTGTTGCTCCCTGTCCTGTGGGTGCTTCAGTGTTGCGCGTGCTGTATCCTGATTGTCTGTTCAACACAGGTCCACCCAAGTTCATGGATGATGTGGCAATCTTCTGGTACAGCTGAAGAAGAGCTCTGACAGCATGGCTCTCCATTGCTGCGTTTCCTTCAGATCCTTTATAGTGAGCTTTGACTTTGACTTTGCCTTGACTGATGCCAGATTTCTTAAAGTCCACACCGAACTTAGCTTTGATATTAGAAACATCTTCATAGAAGGAAGTAGTCATCAGCTTCCAGTACCTGTCCTCTATGGTTAACCCAGCATCAACCAGAGGGTCTTTGATGGTCATGCCAATATTCACTGATTTGTCTTTAACAAAGACTTTGCCTTGACTGATGCCAGATTTCTTATCATCCACACCAAACTTATCAAAGGAAGTGGTCATCAGTCTCATGGAGCTTTCCTCAAGGATGTCTTTGATGCTCCTGGCAATGTTCATTGGTGTCTCCAGCTCTAGTGGTTTCAGACGTACAGACATTACTGTGACTGTGTTCCCATTTTTCCTGGCCAGTGTTTGTCCATTCAGTTCTTGAAGCTCACTCATGGCTTAAAAAGAAGAAAAACAAAAATTAATTTTCCTCCAAAAGAAAGAAAAGAAAAGAACAAACTGAATTGCAACACCAAGTAAAAAATTGAAACAGTCATACTGCACCTTGAGCAGGTTCAGTCACCATCACCGTTATATCAGCTCTCCCGTCTCCTGAGACATTTAAAACTGTGAATTCTTTACAAAATGTCCTTTTGAAGGCCCAAGTCTGAAGAACTTTCTGCAGTTCTGCTTTAGGTTTCTGCGGTTTAATACCCTGTGACCACTTGACTGAGAGGGTGACTTGAGCTTCTTTGTTCTGTGATAAAGTCAGAGCAAGAAAACGTGTAACAGTTATGTCACTGTACCTCACAATACAACGTAAATGACAGCACTGGAACAGTTTGTATATAAACATGTCATATATATGTATATGATATTTGAGATAGGTGGTGTAAAATAACATTGCTTTAATTACATCAGGGCTGTATACAGTGCTGATAATGTAGTTGCTGTGTAGTACGATAACAGAGCAGAAAATGACCAAAGAGGACAGCCTCAATACAGCAGAGAGCAGCAGGCTACTTGGGACTAGCATAATTTGCCTTGGGAGCTTAATGATTACACGGCTCATGTCTTGGAAATAGGAAAAAAAAACAAAAATAAACATTTTTTTTCTTTTTCCTCAATACACACAAGGTCACACAAATACCTACCCCAGCACACGTATC